GGGGACCCCGGGGCCGTGCGCGGGGGGACACGGGCGCCGACGAGGCAGTGGCGCGGCACGACTCCTCCTATGGCACCTTCGCAGGGGAGTTCTACGACCTGCGCTACCTGTCGGAGGAGGGTGAGACTGCCGGAGGGTGAGGGGCTGCGGGAGGGGAGTCCCGGGGAGGAAACCGAGGGGTGGCAGGAGCGGGAGCGGGGGTTGGTTAGGGTGTCAAGGAAGGCAGCTCTAGCACAGCGGGTGCCGGAATGGGGAGCGCACGCTCAGACCCCCGCCAGCTTATAGGAAGGGCCCAGAGAGCTGAAGGTGCCTGCAGCCCGCTTTACAGGAGGGGAGACTGAGGCCTGGGGAGTGCAGTGGTCACCCAAGTCCTGCCAGCCTGAGGATAGGAAGAGCTGAGCCTGGGCTCCCCCAGTGCCTAGCATCTGGTCTCCACCCTCCCTGAGGGTTGGGGGTGGTAGAGGAGGAGGCAGCCATCTGGTCTGGGCTGTGTGGAACCTGGGCAGCTGGTGGGAAGCAGAAAGCCCAACCTAAAGAGAGGTGTTGCCTTTTTTCCTCCTCGTAGGTGTTGACCTAAATTTGCAGTGACTGGCGCCCAACCTCCTAGCGTTCTGTTCACTGCCCAGGCTTCAGAGCTGGGTCACGTCACCCTCCCACTCCCTTTCCACTTCTTTGTCATCACACATTATGGTCCCCTAGTGTGAATTGTTGGGGCTTGCTGCGTCCAGACGGGCTTGGGTTTCGTCAGCCGCGACCTCTTTATCGAGCTCTTTCAAGGAGCACATCATTGTCCGAGCTGGTTCTGCTCGGGAAGAATGGAAACTGGCCTCTTTCTTTGCAACTTTGGAAAGTAGCGATTTTCCTTTTCTTCAACTAAGAGAGATGTCCAAGATTCAGGCTGGAGTTTGAAATGCTATGTGTTTCAGCAACTGATACCTGTAAGTGGATGTACCTGTCAGGTAGGATTAGTTCAACTAGGTCCAACAAACACAGTTTCATAAGGTAACAGTTTCTTTCTCATGAAATCTAGAAGTAGGCAGTCCAGAGCTGGTGTGGAAGCTCATGGTCATCAGGGACTCTGGATCCTACTCTTCCAGTTCAAAATTCTTAGCATGCACCTTCATGGTCCAAAATGATTGCTTGAGTTCCGGACATTACGTTCACATTCCAAACAGGAGGAAAGAGGAAATAGGAAGAAGGTCACTGACTAAAAGATTAACGAGAAGTTCCATATAACGATCCTTTTATATTTTATTGGCCTCGACTTAGTTCGGTGGTCACACATAGGTGCAAAGGAGGCTGGGAAGCATAACCTTTCAGCTGCGATATAATAGGTCCAGTTCAAAAATTGGAACTGTTATATTAAGTAAGGTAGAAAGAATGGATTTGGGGAAATGGGTAGAGGCTTAACTGCTGAAACAGAAATCCCAACATATTGTAGCTTAAATAACATAATTTATTTTTCTTTTTTAAATAATGACTTTATTATCATTATTTTTAAAAAGAATTACTTATTTGATTATATTTATTTCTTTTTTGGGGAGAAATTTTTTGCTATAGGGTGTATGTGCTCACCAGATAGACATAGAGAGACAGAGAATGAGAAATGATCCCTCATGGGGGATGGCCATACCACAGTTCTTTCTCCTCCATTCTCTTCTTGGGATTTTGGGCATGCACGCACCTGTGCCCAGCATGAATTTCAAGCCTGTGGATCTGAGACTTGAACCATGGTTAGCCATGTGGGGGTCCAACGACATAACCATTAAGCTATCTGCTGGTCCCATTTATTATTATTTTTAAATTTGACCAGAGAGAGACAGAGAGAAAGGGAAAGTGAGAAAGCGAGCCACCAGTTCCAGGATTCAAACTGCACTTGGCCATGTGGGAGTCAAGCACCTTAACCATCACACCACATGCCAGCGCCTGTTACTGTTAGTTTTTAATTTGACCAGAGGCAGGAGGGCAGGTAGCAGAGGAAATCAGAAAGCAAGTCCTCAGATCTGGGACTCAAACTGTAGTTGGCCATGTGGCAGTCCAGTGCCTTAACCACCGTGCCACCTGTGGGCCCCAAGATAGTTTATTTTTTTATTAGATGAGAGTCTGGCTGGTCTGGAGCTGGTAAGGTAACTTGGATCTACAGCATCATTCAGGGCCCAGCTTCCTTCCATCTTGAAACTTCATAACCTAAGGTTTTGTCCTCTCTTACCTGTGCGGTAAAAGCCAGGTTGCTTGGATGTCCTTGTTTAAGACTGGAGAAAGAAAGAAAAAGAAGAAATTCAGGACAAGCAGCTATTGGGTTGGGTTGTCAGCAAAGTAATGACGTGGGGCTGGCAGGTAGCATGGTGGTTAAGTCACTGAACTCCCACATGGCTGACCACAGTTTGAATCTTGGACCTGGCGGCTTGCTTTCTCACTTACCCTCTCTGTGTTTCTCTCTGGTCAAAATAAAAAATAATAGAGAAAATTAAGTAAACAAGTCTTTAAAAATAAAAAAGGAAAAATTATGGCCCATTTTGCATAGAAAATAGAAAAAAATAAGTCATGACTTTTCTGACAACCTAATACTTTTTTGGCTGGGTATTCAAATCACTGCAGCTCATATTCCTTTTCCATAAATATTAATTACATGACCTAGCTGCAAGGGAGGCTAGGAAATGTAGGCTTCTACCTGGTTGACTGTGTGGTCAGGAAGAAGGAGAAAATGGGGGTGAGAGGACATAAACAGAGACGAAATCTGTCACTTCAGGAAATGGCGTTCTAAAGCCCATTGGTGGTTTTTGTTTGTTTGTTTGTTTTCCTGGCTTTTGCCATAGGATGTGGGTACTCATCAGAGTCAGTGAGAGGCAAAGTTAGAAGTTACCTTACCCCCAGGGGGTTGGCCACACCACAATCCCTTCTCCTCTATTCCCCTCCTGGGATTTTGGGCATGCACAAACACACACACACAGCATGATTTTTCAAGCCACCAGGTCTAGGATTCAAACCATGGTTGGCCATGTGTGACTGTAGTGCTCTAAACACCGCACCACCCACTGGCCCCCATGGGTTTCTAAAAGCATCCAATGCATATTTATTGTGTACAATCAGCCTAGTACTACTAGGTGATTTAAACAGGCATATGAGAGCTTATTTTCTAATTGGGCTCATTTAGGTAACAAAGGAACAAGGTCAGATTCGGTGTGTCAGTTTGGGCTCACAGAATAAATGTTAATGGTCTAGTCCCGACTGTTTCCTGCACAGGTGGGCTGCAGCCATCAGGGGCAGCTTTGGAGATTCAGGCCAGGACACATGAAAGGTTTGGCGAGACGGAAGAGGGAGGGCGTTAAGGTGAGGTGACTGCACAGAGGCCAGGACGTGCCCTGTGTATACAAATCCCGAGTTGGTCTCCTTGCCCATCCCACCCATTCTGCACATACAACCGACTTAACTTTCCTAAAGCCTGCCTCTAACCTTGGTGTTGCATTCAAGTCTGTGATGGTTTCAACCTGCTCCTCCCTGGATGAAGCATCAGTTCCCTCATCTGGAATTGTCTCTCTGACCCAGTTTCCCCATACAGTCATTTCTCACTCTTTTTCTTCCCTCGCCCTGAGCTTTTGCCCTTCCTGTTTCTCCTAGGCTTCCCTTTGACAATTTTTTTTTTTTTTGGAGAGATTTTCACTGTAGGGCGCGTGCGCTCGCCAGACAGACAGAGAGAGACATAGAGACAGAAAGCGAGAAATCACCCCCCAGGGGGGATGGTCACGCTGCAATCCCTTCTCCTCCATTCTCCTCTCGGGATCTTGGGCACGCACGCACACGCGCCCGGCGTGAGTTTTAAGCCACCGGGTCCGGGACGCGAACCGCGGTCGACTACGGGGGAGTCCAGCGACATAGCCGTTACGCTAACTGCTGGTTCCCCCCTCTGACAATTTCACTAGCTCTTCAGACACAGTTTCTCTTCCATCTGGTCGGTGCTAGTGGGGATGTTGATGGGATGGGCTTCTCAGGGAAGCACCTCTACTAGGCCACCTTGGGCCAGGGTTTACCCTTGTGCGTCCTGAGTAGAGACTGTCCTAAGATCCTTAGAAATAGTGATGCTGTCTTAAAAGGGGGCTGAAAAGGTACCCCAAGAGAGATATAGAGAGAGTGAAGCAGAACCAGGTGTGAAGGGTGTTCCAGAAGGCAAAGGAAAAGCAGGTGTTAGAAAGCAGGAATCCATACCACGGTGAGGCCTGATAGCATGAAGACTCAACATAGTCAATGGGTTCTGGAGACCAGAGGTAGCAGGTGAACTGTCCTTGGAAGGGCTAGCAGAGAAGGCGAGAGGGGGCCCGGTTGATGTTGAGGAAGTGAAGATATTAGGTAGTTGGGTAAGTCATGAGATTTTTTTTTTTTAATTTTGTTCTATGCAAAAATGTGTCATGACTTTCCCGACCACCCAATATGTAGTGCCTTTAACCTAATCTTTCTATCAGTGTAAATGGGGTTGACCTTTCCTAGTGATTGGGCTATTCATTTCCTCTACATGGGAGACTCCCTTATCATATTCCAAACAGCCAAGAAACTGAGGTTTTAATGGGAAGGTGGCCTGGCAGTATAGACTCAGAACAAGGGCAAAAGAATATTGGGGGTAAGAATGGGGACGTCACTAAAACTGTGAGAAACCCCACTGACCATTACCTGCCCTATCCAGATGGCTCAGGATCCCCAAATCCACAGGATGGTCACTGTCTCATTTGGTGTTTAAAAAGAAAGAAAAGAAAAAAATCGCCTCCTAAAATGTTCATTTAAGGGCCAGCAGGTGGTATGGTGGTTAAGGCACTGGATTCCACAAGATTGATTCTGTGGTTTGAGTCCCATATCCAGTATCTTGAGAATTACACTAGGTGTGCGTGCATGCCCAGAAATCCCAAGAGGAGAGTGGAGAAGAGATTGTGGCACCCCCTTCTGGGGCGGGGGGTGATTTCTCACTTTCTCTCTCTGTCTGTCTATCTCTAGAGAGCATAAGTACCCTATGGCAGCATCTGATTTAAAATTTCATTTAAATTTTTTAAAATTATGATTGATTTAATTTGCTGGTTTTCCAAATTCTTAGGGTTCCCATTGTCAGCCTATGTATTTATTCATCCTTACAGTTC